GGTGTTCTCTCTCTCTCATTCTCTCTCTCTCAAATAAATAAATAAAATCTTAAAAAAATAAAAAATTAAAAAATTAAAAAAAACAATAAAAAGCTACAATTCTCCTTCACAATTCCACACCATCCCAGTCCCATTCCTTTTCCCAGTCCTAGAACTACTGTCAACATGTCAACTTCCAAATCCTCTTCGGTGTGCTTTCATACATATACGTGTCTTCATACACATATATTCATATACATATTCACATTTTCCTGCATATATGTGGTGTACGCAAACATCCAGAGTCCAATCAGAAGGCAGAAGCTATGCTAAAAACTACAGAGGTTGTTTAACACAGGTCAGAGAAGAGTGAAGAGACCAGAGAAGAGCAGGGAGCCACCCTCAACCGTGGGGCTAGAGGGACAAGGGAGAAGGCAGTGTTATCCTGGTGGGTGTGGGGCCCACCTGGAAGGATCTGGACCCACTGCAGCACTTCCAGGCTAAGGCTGGAATCGCGGAGAAAGGGTTGTAGAGGAGGGGCTGGAGAATCGACAGGATGCTGCCAGACACCCTCTGACACAGAGAGAAGGGGAGAAATAACCTGGCTTCTCCCTTCCTCTCGTTCTCCAGGGTTCCACCACTGGCTCTCTTTGGCTGGGTCTGGAAGGGAGCCTGCGGAAAGCAGTTCCCAGGGATATTAAGCCCAGGATAGAGGATGGTAGAGAATAGATCTGAGCAAACAGACAAAAGACCAGCATATGTGGTTTAAAATAAAGCACATAAAATAGCATCGTGGTATATGCAGTGTTCTAAATTCGTCCTGTCATTTTTGCAGGGATAAAATCTGCTTAAAATGGCCATTGAGAGCAGGCTTGATCCACAGAATCAAGGTTACAGCAGTAGAGCACAGAGGAAAGCAGCAGAAGGTGGAGGTGTTCCAGGAGAAATGCACTCCCGTCCAAAGGGGAGGCACATCACAGAGCGGCAGGTCAGAGGACTGGTTTGGGTACAGGTCTGTTCTCAGGTAACCAGGCTGACCTGCTCTGCAGACAGGTGGGAAGAGAGCTGTATGGGCTGATTCTCACCCAGGAGTAGGCTCAACGACTCAGAGATTTTAGAACCAAAAGGTCACAGAAGTCTCTCATTTCAACTCCTGGCTCTTACAGAATAAGGAACCGAAATACAAAGAAGTGAAATGATGGGCTCCACAGCCAAAGGACCTCAAGCCTATTTTTTGTCATTTTTTTGTTTTGGGGGGCATGGTACGGAGGTGTCAGGGAGACAGCTTAGGACCAGTGCCTCCCGTTCCTGCGGGCATTGGGACTGCTGCTGAGTCACAGAGCAGCCAAACAGAGGTCTAACGAGACACGGGGAAGTCTAGAAGCACTTGTTCCAATAGGACCTGTTTCATAAACAAGAGGACCAGTTTCATAAACAATGCTTGGCACCTGGCGTGTCTTATGAAGGAATTCACCCAAGAAGATCTTTTCCTTAGAAACTCTTCTAGCCTCCAGAGTCTGGTTTTAATTGCCTTTAGCAAAATTTCAGAACCTTTAGTGCACTGCAGGAGCTGAGCTGGATACAAAGATGCACAAGATACAATAAAGAGTAAGCCTTGTACTTCTAGGAGTCCTAACTCTCACGGGGTCAGAAGTGAATCAAAGGATTATGATACAACGGGATAAATATAATAATATCTGTGGCACAGAAGAGGGAGGGAGTAACTGCTGGGGGGGTGGGGAGCTTGGGAAAGTGGACTGAGAAGGCCTCACGAAAGTGACATGATGGAAGGTGAAGAAGGAACGATAGGAGCACCTCAGACCTCCAAGTCCAACTCTAAAATAACAGCATTCAACCAAACTTCCCTGAAACACCACTATGATCCCTCAAGGATTGACAAAGCAGCTGTTCTTGCCCCCATTTACTTCTCATTATGTAATGGAAACTGCGCATACATGTAACATGTTTAAAAGTAAATGATGGATAAAATGAGCCCACGGGCCCCATCAGTCAGGATCAGCAGGGCCAGGCTGACCTTCAGAGACGGTGCACCAGAAAGTGAAGGAGGCTCTTCACATATAATTTAATACCGCAACCACATGCTTCTAAGGAAGCCCTGCACAGTTCTGTCTTGCCCCACAATAACACTTTTCAAATGTTTTTGAAAATATCAGATAGCCAACCGAGACTCGAATGATGCTTTTCTCCTTATTGTTGTGCTCCTGCTTTGCTAGCGCCCCAAGCACGTTTGGCCTGTCCGCGGGTGATCCTGCTCTGACCAGGCAGCCCCTTTCCACTCCAAGACACCCCAGACGAGGCTGGCCTCGACAAGCTCATGTTCCTGTTCTTAAGCAAATGGACGGAGAGCTGGGCTTTCACTTCCCCACACAGCCCATGCATTATGACTTTGTGCTTTACCCATTCTGTCAATAACCTTACAACTCAGGAAAGCCACCTGCAGCCTTGCGGTCTGGCTAGACATGAAGAAAGGGGCTGACGTGAGAAACTGTTTCCTTACATGAGCTCGGCAGCAGGTGGTCAGAGGAAGACCGTATGACAGTGAAGCATTTGTGAGCGCAGGCAGGCGTCTGAAACAGGTCTGAGTGTAGCACTTGCTCTTTCACTTCACCGTGGGATCTTGGGCCAGTGATTTCACCCTGGTGAGCCCAAGTTTTATCTTCTATAAATGTGCTTCAAAAGAGCACCTACCTTGTGAGGTCATTCTTTCAACACATACTTCAAATGTCCCTACTGTGTGCCAGGCACCGTTCTTGAAGAAAGAGATACAATGGTGAACAAACAAAAATCCCAGCCCTAGAGCTTACCTTCTAGGGTAAGAAGATAGACAACAAAAATAAAAAGAATATTTATCGTGTTAGAAAGGAAAGGGGTTAGGGAGCGTTGGGAGAGATGCCATTTTAGGTGGAATGACCAGAAGGGCCTGAGCGAGCAGGTGACTTGGTAGATGCAAGCTAAGCAGCAAAAGGACATCCGGGGGCCCACCTTCCAGGGAGAAGGAACAGCCTGAGCAGAGGCCCTGAGGCAGAAGCAAGTCTAGTAGGTCTGAAGAACAGTGAGTGAATCTGGCTGAAACCGACTGAGGGTGGGAAGAGACAGGAGGGAAATGAGGTCAGAGCTCAGGAGGGCAGAAGAGTGGCAGGCTCCGACTTGCATTCGAATAGCATCACTCCTGGGAAACCGGTTGGGAAGCTACTGTAGTGATCCAGGTGAGAGAGAAAGCACACCACGTCCTAACCTCGGCGCCTGGCACGAACCGGCTCTGGATAAGAGTGCCCACTGACCTGAAGCCGCGCGTGCGTAGCTGGCGAGGGAAGACCTCAGCTTTGTTCTCCTTTCTGCCCCTCTCTCAGCCATCCATCTACTGCCCACGTCGTCTTCCTCAATCACCCTGCTTGTCATCTTCTTCCCCTTTTCTTCTCTCTCTGCTTCCTCTTCACTCTGCTGTCTGCCTTTACTTTCTCTTATGAATGGTCTGTCCTCCAGGGCCGAGTTTTGGGGGGGTGGTTTTGCATCTTGGGGAGAGAGCAGTGCACCTCCTGGCCTGTGAGTTCCACAGGGCGCATCAGTGGGACCAGACGTGGGGTGACAGGCACAGAAGGTGCCCAGAGAGGTGGCTCTGCCGTGCAGGTTGTACTGGGGCCGTAGGCAGAGTTTTGTAGCCTGGTCAGCATTCCACCACGACAAGAGAAGCCCCTCTCGGAGTTTTAGGCAATTCCGTAAAGGACGCCGGTGCAGGGGGTTAAGAGGCTGACACCACCGCAGCTAGACCAGGAGAGCAGAGATCAAAAGGCCGTTCTCAGGAAATCAAGAAGTGTAGGGACTGTAGGGAGACCATCACAGATAACCCCAAAGCCTTCAGCACCAAAGCGAGTGCTTCTCAGAAGGAACCTCCCTGATACCAGCCACCACTTTAGTGTCGCAGTACCAGGTAAATGGTCACAGCAGACAACAGGGGCATTCCCAGAAGGCATTCTGACAGCAGGACCACCAGCCATGACGTAACTAAGCATCGTGACCCAACTCGACGCGACATAACACAGAAATGTCTGCAAATCACAGGAACATGTGGCACTACAGCCAAATTCATCATGTCCCTGGCTCAACTTGCCCTCATCCGGAGCTTAAGATACCCAGGGCCACTCTCATCCCCCTGACAAGGTGACAGAAGGGAAGTCAGAGTGGAGAGACACAGGACCTTAACTAACTGATTTAAAATATCTTACTTTTGCTAATTTTACAAAAACATCTGGCCCTGTGCATATGCACGTTGCTCGGACCCCTCCCAGGGCCCTCGAGGGTGTGCTATGAGTGGGGGCTCCTGAAGCTTTAGCTTCTCATGGAAAATCTGTCTTTGCCTGGAACCGAAGCAATTTACCTTCACTGGCCAGAGAGCTGATTCCATCATAGGAAGGGGCTTTGGGCCAGTGTGAAGTTTCCTTAGGAATTGTTTGCAGCAGTAATGTTTTTTACTCAGCTTGGAAACTGCTAATAGCACTACTAGATGATTTATTAAATTGATACAAATTTGAATTAGTAGAAAATGAGCCACTGTGTGTAGCCTTTACTCTCAGACTTCTGAATCACCTCCCTTTAAGTCAGTAGGACCCAAACTAGTCTATTCAACAAAAAATTATTGCGGGCATACGCCATGCGGGTACAACCATGAACTCTGATTGTAAGGGGCCTTCAGGGGAGGAGACCAGTAATCAAATAATCAGTCAAGGACTAGAGGGCGTCCCACTGAGAAAATGGACAAGTGATCCTAATCTAGTGTTCTATAACAGGAAAGACTGAAGGATTCATTCTTTCAACAATTTTGGGGGGCTGCCTACTCTGTGCCCACACAATGCTAAGGGCCAGGATAAGGGCGAGCAAAAAAGCTGCGGCATCCCTGCCTTTCTAGAACCGTCCCCTGGATGAAACATTATCACAGAATCACATTGCATCTATCCTTACTGACAACCCAGCGATGGCCTCTCTGAAGGAGTGCAGCAGGTGCACCAGTGAGCATATTTGAAGGGGGTTGGTGCAGCAGGACAGACTTTCAGGAGGGGCCACAGTGCACTGAGAACCAGAGGCAATTTAACCCATGAGTGAGGAGGTGGCAGGGCTTGTGGGAGTCTCCCAGGCAAAAGGAGCTGCAGGAAAAAAGACCTTGGGGGCGGGAGGAATGTAGGAGGGAGAAAAAGACAAAAAGAAGCCAGCATGGCTGAGCAGCTCCAGCGGAGGACAGGAGAGAGTATGGATACATGGGGCTGGAAAAACAGCAATGCACTGGTGTGCCTAAAGCCAACGGGAGCCCCAGAAGTTCCTGAGGAGTGGAGAAACATTGCTCGGTTGGCATTAAATGGACAGCTCTGGCTGCAGCGAGAATATTGGATTACGAGGGTTGCTTTGACAGTAGCTGCATCCTAATTACGTCCCCCTTTCTCACTTTCCTTTCCGGTAGCCACAGAGATTTAAATAAATGCCTGCCAGATACTCAGTTCAAAGCACCCGACAATGAAGGGCTATGTGGCTTGGAGAAGAACACACTGCCTTCAGTCAGGCAGACGCAAATTAGATCTTCCCTCCACCTCCACTCAACTGGTGGCCCCGGCGAGTCACTCACCCTCTCTCCAACCCACTTGCGAGTCACTCGCCCTATTTACAACCCACTCTCCACCCGCTCCGTAACATGGGGAGAACAATGCCTCCCGCGCGGAGTTAATGAGCAACAGAAAGGGGTGCGCAAATTATCTGGCATTTGGCAGAACTCGGGACACACCAGCTACTATTGGAAGTGACTGCAGTGTAGGCAAGCTAGTCGGGAGAAGATTTCCAACCAGAAGTAACGCTAGCATAAGCACTGGGAATATAGTGCAATCTCTCCTATTTAAAAAAAAAAAAAAAGAAATATACACAATATCATATATATTTATGTGAAGAGTACATTTTTATAGAGAGCCGTCTAATGAAATCTTCCTACCAGCAGTGTTGGGAAACAAGTCTATGTTATCTACGCAATTAAAATATATACACATATACAATAAAGTTGAAAAGTTTTCTCAATAAATTACGTTGTGCAAGACTTGCGTTATCTCTGGCCTTTTCCTGTTTGCAGTTGTCCTGTGATGACAAAGGAGAAACTGAACTCATTTGTTTGCCGGTGCATCCCCCAGACTGAACAACATTAGTTTCTCAAAAATGATGTTATTTGTTTCTGTTTCTGCAGAGCCTGCTGGAGATCCGGGCACTTGGTGGTAGGTGTGTGGTAAATACTTGCAGAATGGAAAAATAGGCAAAAAACAAAAGAAAAAAATTTAATGTATGAGTCTGAAAACTGTAGTTTATGAACCAAAATCAAGACACGTCGTCTCTTCCACAGAACATGAATGTCTTGGAGAGAACGTGGCATGGCAAGTTTGAACTCCACACTGTCCTGGAAAATTCAGGATATACGATCGGCATACACCTCAAACAGCTGACTTGGTTTGAAAAGAGCTATAGCCAGTTCCACTGTGAGCATGTGTTATACTTATTTTGCGGCATAAAAATTGTTGCAAGTCCTTTGTTCACAGTGGAAGGAACAATCTAGAAGATTTAAGGGATTTCTGTTTAACTGTTGACACAAGGACTCAGGATCTGCTTTTCTCTTATCTCACCCATTGTAATTAATTAGCTGCCCTGATGAGACCTCTCCTGGCACAAAAAGAACAAGTGAAACAGCCATACATTTTGTTTGTGAAGCGCAGCTGAGCCTAGCCCAACAGAGTATCGATTCAAAAGAGGGAAATAAAATATGCAGCAAAGTTGGGGACAGGGAACAAAGAATCCAGTATGACAATTGAAAGGAGGGTTAAACAAGCATTCAGAGTACCATCAGGAAGGTAAAAAGCCTCAAGAGTCTAGAAAAAAAAGATAAACTGGAGGGACAAGGCTGAGAGGAGGTGGAAGGACCGATTTAAAATCAATGAAGAAATTTAAGACTTTGTTCTAAAGGAATATTTTTACAAGTTGGGTTTATTGAAGTATAATTTACATGCTATAAAATTTGCCTTCTTTTTTTTAAGATTTTATTTATTTATTTGACAGAGAGAGAGACAGCAAGAGAAGGGAACACAAGCAGGGGGAGTGGGAGAGAGAGAGAAGCAGGCTTCCCGCTGAGCAGGGGGCCCGATGATGATGATGATGATGATGATGATGATGATGATGAGGGGCTCGATCCCAGGACTCTGGGATCATGACTTGAGCCAAAGGCAGATGCTGAACGACTGAGGTACCTACACGCCCCTAAAATTTACCTTCTTAGTATAAAGTTCTATGAGTCTTAAACATCACATAGGGTGTGTAGTTACCACCACAATCAAGAGATAGAATAATTTCATCATCTCTAAATTCCCATTTGCCCCTTGGTAATCAATCCCTCCTTCAACCTTAGCTACCGGCAGCCACTGTTCTGTTCTTCTGTCACTCTAGTTTTGCCTGCTTTAAAGGAATTTAGTAACAGACCTTAAAATGGGGGAGAAAAGGAACTGAGAGTTTTTCTCCCTACCATCCACTCACTTCCTATACCCATTAATAGCATCATTTAGTGAACTTAGGTTTATTGAGGATCTATTATTTGCTAAAGATTTTAAGTACATCATCTTTCATTTTTACATCTTGTCGGGGAAGGAAGTTCATTCTCCCCATTTCCCAGGTGGAAGATGACACTCAAGAAGTGTCAAGCTGGTAAGAGAGCGGAGATTCCAAATCAGAGTTGACCAGAAATGTCACCATGGTCTATCTCTGGGTGTTAGGTTAGAGCTGGTTTGTACTTGCTTTCTTAAACGTTGTTTGCATTATCAAAGTTTTTTAACAATGAGTTTATGCTATTTTTGTAACCAGAAAAAAATACCTTTATAAATATATAAATATATACTATATACAAGGTCTGATTCCAAAGCCTATCCTCTTTGCTGAGCAAAGGCGGGGGAAGATAGGGAAAATAATTTAGAAGGGAAGAAAGGAAAGGCTCCTCTTGGCCACAGGCACCCGTTCAGAAGTAAGGAACCAGAATCAACTCTACCAAAAAGACCAGAGTACAACTTTGCTCTGTCTCTAGATCTCACCACTGTCGAACATCTTCAGCTTCAAAAAGTTCCCTAACACAAGTGTCCTTCCAAAGTGGTGAACATGAGCCCCGGAGGCCAGTAAAATCCCACGGAGACCGCTCCAGACTCAGCAGACAATCCTGTGCATCTTCCTGCCTCGTCTCCAAAGACCAGGTAGGAACAAGCTAACCATCACAGGCAAGTGAGGGTACAGCAGCCTTTTCACCACTTTTGGAGAGGCAGGAAGGTGAATCCCAAGACCAGGGCTAAAAGAACACAGGGCACCTTTTATTGGAGGGATAGGGGATCGTATTTAACTAAGACTATGTTGGGGGAACATTACCCATCATGGTGCTGCAAGGGATTCGTGAGGGCATTCTCTGATCTTTAGGCAGAATCTATTGATTGCTTGTTCCAAAAAATATTTGATGGGTCTTACAAAGATGTACATAATACAAAAAATTTTATGTTAACTATACTGAAATTAAATTAAAATAAAATAAAATAAAAACAAGGAAAAAATAATTTAGGTACTAGAACTGCATACCCAAATAGAAAGACAATGAACCTTGACTCCTACCTTACACCATACACAATTAATTCAAGAAGGTTCACAGACCTAAATGTAAAAGTAAAAACTAAAACTTCTAGAAGAGAAAAGAGGAGAATATCTTCACAAATAGGGATAAGCAAAGATTTCTTAGATAAGAGGCAAAAAGCAAGAACCATTTAAAAAGTGATAAATCAGATTATACCAAAATTTAAAACTTTTGCCTCCTAAACAGATAGTGTTAACTACAGAAGCAATCCAAAGGCTGACATAAAATATTTCTAAAAACATATATCTGACAAAGAATTAGTACTGGAATATGTAAAGAACTCCTATACCTCAAAAATAAAAAAATTAAAAAACCTGAACAACTCAATTTGGATTGATTTGAATAGACACTTCATAAGGGAAAAGACATTAATGGCTCAAAAGCAATTTTAAAAGATTCTCAGTATCATTATTCATCAGAGAAATACAAATTAAAGACAGTGAAAAACTACTATTCACATGAATAGCTAAAATAAAAATGACTGCCGACACTAAACGCTGGGAGATCATAGAACAACCTGAACTCTCAAACGCTGCTGGTGACACAACCACTTTGGGGAAAAAGTCTGACAGTTTCTTACGAAACTAAACATGCACCTACCCAATGACCCGGCAATTGCACTCCTAGGTATGCAGCCAAGAGTTAGGAAAGCATTTCCACAAAGAGACTTGTACAAAAACATTCCTAGCAGCTTTAATTGCTAAGCAAACTGAGGTATATTCACACAATGGAATACTAATCAGCAATATAAAGAAACAAAGTCTGATAGCCTAACAGTGCAGATGAGTCCTTAAAACATTGTGCTGAGTGAAAGAAGGCTTATTATATAAGAGTACTTTCTGGGTGATTCCATTTATTTGAAGTTGTAAAACAGGGAAAAATCTCAGAACAGTAGTTGCCTCTGAGCTTGTGGGGATGAAAGAAGGACATAAGTAATCTTGCCGGCCTGATGGGAATATTCTATATCTTGATAAGGATTTGTTAGGCAAGTGTGTTCCTTTGTCCAAAATCACTGGATGGTATACTTGAGGTGAGTGCATTTTGTTGGATGTAAATTTTAACTTAAATAAAAAAAAAAAACAAAGAAAAACCATAACCAAATATTGAGCTTTAGTTAATGATATGCATACTAAAATGTTTAGGGGTTAAGTGTATAGATGTTTGCTATTTACTTCAAAAAAATAATTGAAAGAGGGATGGATACCTAGATAATATGTGATAAAACAAGGACAATTAAAAACTTAATTAGTGAATCCAGATGGTGGGAACATGGATGTTAACTATAAAATTCTGTCATCTTTTCTAGATATTTGAAAATCTTTGTAATAAAATTTTGGGGAAAAAATAGGTTAGGATTTAAGAGAAAGGAAAAATGCAGGTCAGACAAAAAGGATGAAACTGAAGTTAGAACATCATAAAGAACTACAGATCTGTCTTTGAGCTTCCTAAGAGCCAAAGCAAAAGAAAGAGGGTGAAGGCAGAAGAGAAAGAGGAAGATGGAGGAGGAGGGAGGGAAGAGAGAGAGAGAGAGAGCACAGCCTCAGTTACATAATTAGCAATGCCCATAAGATTTTTTTTTAAGTAGGCTCCATGCCCAGCGTGGAGCCCAATGTGGGGCTTGAAATCATGACCCTGAGACCCAGACCTGAGCTGAGATCAAGAGTCGGACGCTTAACAGACTGAACCACCCAGGCACCCCTGATTTTTAAAAAATTGTTCTAATAGAGCACCACTTTTCCTGATACAAGTTTTCATCAAGAGGGCACTATGCAATGTGGTTCTATTAGGTAGTGTAAGAACAAGGCTCAGAGACTTTATTTCTTAAACAAGCAAGAAATTCATTTCTCTCTCATATATAATAATCTGTAGGTAGTGTTCTGGGACTAGTATGGTGGCTCTATTCAAGGGAAAATAAGTGATTGGGGCTCCACAATTCAGTAACCTAGGAAATGGCTGTGATGATTTTATCCAGGAAAAAAAAAAGTGTATCCAAAAATGTAAATACCCTTGAAAATTTCTAGGAAATATTCTAACACTTGTCTCATTGATCTACTCCAATGTATCTTGCTAAATCCATTTCTCTCTGAACATGTACCATATGCTACGTACCATAGAGAATGATAATAATAACTTTTTTGTGCCGTATTTCAACAATTCTAAGATGTATAATTTTTTCCCCACATTTTGGCACCTCTGAAATCAGGATGGGTCTTAAAATCAATGGCATGTTGTAATTGGGATTTTTTCCTTTCTCTCTTTTTTTTAAGATTTTATTTATTTATTTGAGAGAGAGAGTGTGTGAGTGTGAGAGATAGAGAGAGCATGAGCAGGGGGAAGCACGCTCCCCACTGAGCAGGGAGCCTGATGCAGGACTCAATCCCAGGACCCTGGAATCA